AGGGTATGGAAAGCCAAAATACTGATGTTCTTGCAACAATTGTGTTTATTTGAAAATCAAATGTATTGTGAAATGATAGTGGCAAAAAAGGATTTAAAGAAGATAAATAAAAATAAATAAATAAATAAATAAGATAAGATAAGATAAGATAAGATATGATAAGATAAATAAAAGCTAGTAGCCAGTAGCATGGATAAAACTTAAAATGAGAAAATACCCTAAGAAATTATTAGTGAAGAGCTTTGTATCCTTATAATGTATTATATTCAAGTTATAAGGATATAAAGTTCTTCACTAACGGGTTCCAGAAGTGGGCAATGTGTTGCTGCTGTAATGTTGAATTATAGTTACAGCCTAGCATAGCTAAGTTGAAGTGTGCAAGGAGTTCTAATTCAGTAGCTTCTGAATAGCCATAGATTTCTTACTCTTTTCTTAATTGGATACTGATTTAAGTATCTATTAGTGTGTGTGTGTGTGTTCATAAATACATATCTAATCTTATTTGGGGGTATTGATTTGATCTGATTATGTTGGGTGTCAATTCTTAGCATCCACATAGATCAACCTCCTCTAGGACAATCTGTCTTCATCCTGGTCATTCAGGTCTACCAACATTGCATCTATTTCCACTGTAATAAAATATAGCCACCTTGCTACTGGGCATCCTCTCCTCTTTCCGTGTACATTTCTTAGCATTATTCATATTTTTAGGTAAATTTGGTGTGTGCTTGATACTGTTTTTATGATATGATTTTCCCTTCTGTTACTTGTGAGCAATCAAATTGCAGCTTTGAAATGGAAGATGTGGTCCCTTAAATAAGTCCTTTAAAACAGATGTAAGCTATGGCTTGCAAACTATTATTCAATTATTTTAGAAGTATCTGTGAAAATTGAATTGGAATTATTGTCTGTAACAAAGAGAAATGCAGCCATAAGCCTTTTGAAGAGTTTTTAGCAGAGGGAAACGTACCTATGGGGCTTTTGAAGCATTCACGTTAAAGAATGTGAAGCATTCTGCTTTCTTTCTAAAAGAAGATTGGAGTTTCTGTAACAAATACAACAGCATCATCTTGTGGCTAATAGCACAATATTGCATGGTATACTTTCAAGTTTACTTGAAAGCAGTATAGTACAGAGGGATCTGTACTTAGACACATATAGCCCTATTTGGATTCCATTGGAGTTGTGAGAATAAACTATTGAAATCAAACTCCTTTCACATGATGAGGCTGGATTGTAAGAAATAACTTACATTTTATATACTTGCTCTGCTTTCAAATGCTATTCTAATATAACAGTGTCATATAATAGTCACATTTCAAGGATCATGACTTGCTTTAATAAGCTGAAATATCAATAAATCTTTTGGGAGCACAAGTAATCCCTTCTTCTTTTTTTTGCCTTTGCATAAGTAAAACACAGCTTATTTCATCCGAACTGGAAAGCTATGATTTAATGGTTTTAGAATGCTATGAACCTATTGTTTGCATAATACGTCGGTTTGTTAAAACCGTAAATCATAGTTTTCTGATTTGGATGAAATTGGCTTGCTCCTGCATAAAGGGAATAGCAATGTATCATTTATACCTTGGCTTATTAAGCAGATATATGATCAGCTTTGCATGCGCTACCAAGCATATATTGTGACTGATTCTTCTCTTCCATTTCTTAATGTATCCGCAAATTTAATTTGGTAGTTATTACTTTAACCTATACTTCCATTCTTAATTGCTATTTCAGAAATTTAAGAAAATATGTTTTGTTACCTATCTGACTAGTGTCAGGGTACTTTGCTCTACGGGAGCTGTTTGTCACTCCCAGTTTAGATGAGCCTCAATATTTGGCCCTCCCATCTACAATTTTGATGACTTGACCTTTTAAGTGGCAAAATCTGCATCAATTTCATTGCTTAAAATTCTCAAATCACCTCCCAGAACAGGCTCTGGTGCCACCTACTTTGCAAGTATGGCCTTTGACATGCAGTCAAAACGTGGTGTACTATAATCCTTGACTGCTAGAAGTCCCATACATCTTTTCTACTGAAACTAACATAAAATTGCAACAAAATAGAATATATTGTCGAAGGCTTTCACGGCTGGAATACAATGGCTGGTGTGGGTCTTCCGGACTGTGTGGCCGTGTTCTGGAAGTTTTGTTTCCAAAACGTTTGTTTCCAAAACAAAAACTTCCAGAACACGGCCACACAGCCCGGAAGACCCACACCAGCCATCAAAATAGAATATAATTTTTCTAAAAAAGGCTGCAGAACTAACCTTTGGTTTAAATGCAGTTGATGGTATCTGTATAAAAACAAGTATTTGCTACACCCATTAATACAGTGTGAAGGCATCTCCTACGTGAGCTCAAGAGACTGTGGGTCATGGAATTAACTTCCTTCTACCCCATTTTAAATCCATCTGTTGTATACAGTATATTTTATTTTTATTTATACCATACAAAATCTACATATTTATTTATAGCATTTGTATATTGACACATTCACAATGGGCTTCTGGCAGTTTACTTCAGAAACCATCACTATGAAACCAACATATACTAAAGCATCCATAGTAAAAACTAATCAGTGCATTTTTATTAGTAAAATATGCCAATAACCATTAAACAGCAGATATATTGTTCTAATTAAACCCCAAATGCTTGCTGGAAAAGCTCTGGCTCAGTTTGTTGCCAGAAAGCAACTGTTAAGTCCTGCATGGCAAGCAAACTAAGGAAAGAAGAATCACTTGGATGTCTGGAAAGGTCTTTATTGCTAGTAGGATAATATAACAGAATTCTTCAGCTCAACTTATACCTAGCATAATTAAGGCATAGTTGCTCTGGGTCTCTTTTTCATGCTTCCCCCGCCCCTGGGCTCAGGTGTATCTTTTACAACAATCCTGTTTCTTCCTCCACTTTGCCAGCGCCTGTTAGGCGTTCCAACCCACAAATAAAGGTGAGACTAGGCAAACCTCAAGTGAGACTAAACCACAAAACAAGCACAACCACAACTAAAAAACTGTAGGCTTCTGTCTCCCTCACCTCATGGAGATGGGAACAACAGGCAGCTTCTCCCAGGGTGATTGTATTAGGTAAATTGATCCCAGTTGGAGAAGGCAATCCTTTAGCAGCTTAGGTGCTAACCCACATAAAGAACTTTACAGGTCAAAACAAGCATTTTGAATTGCATGTGAGAATCTATTGGTAACAAATGTAGGGCTCTCAGTACAGATGTATTATGCTCATGATGATGAGTGCCTGGTAACACATTAGCTACTGCATTATGTACCAATTGCAGTTTCTGGGTGGTCTTCAAAGGCAGCCCCATGAGGAGGACATTGTAATTGTCAATGTGAGTAGTAATAAAGAGGTGAATCACTGTTGCAAGAACTTTCTGCTCTGGATAGGGCTTCAGCTGGTGCACCAAATGCAGCTGGGCAGATGCCCTCTTGACCAAAACCTCTCCCTTTCCATCTAGTAGTAACTATGAATCCATAAAGATCCCTAAACAACAGACCTACCTTCTCAGGGGTAGTGCCTCTCCCTCAAGAGACACCATTTGGGCTGAGAGAGAACTATGAGAAATAACTTGTCTTTCTTGGGTTCAAGCTCAGCCTTCAAATACTGAGTCAAGACCTGAACAGTATTCCTAGCCGGGCCTGAGGTGGTGATGTGCAGTTGGATATCAAGTGCATCCAAACCAACAGATTACCTCACCTGGTGGAATCATGGAGATGCTGAAAAGCATGGGGGGAGAAGACTGAATCCCAGGGCTCTCCACACTGGAATGGCCACAGGGCTGACCACTCCTACACCACCACCAACTGGAACTGCCTGCTAAAGGAAGAGTGGAACCACTGAAGAACAGTGCAGCCCATAACAGCTGACAGGCTCTGTTGCACTGAGGTAGCAGAGAGTAAGTCAGCTCCCTCCCTCCCTCCCTCCCTCCCT